TAACCCAAGAAAAACCAACTAAACTATAAAGTATGAATAAATAAAATAAGTTTTTAAACATTTCATGATATTAAAAAATGCGTTTGTTTCCTAAACAATAAAATCTAGAAATTAACAGAAAATTAAACTAAAAAAGAAAAATAATAATAATTAAAAAAAGAAAAATGATAATAATAAAAAAAAAGAAAAAAAGAAAATAAGTCCCTGAAAATTTAACTAAATAAAATAAATATATTTTTCTTTCTAAAACTGTAAAATACAAACATTGCAAGACACTGAGATTAACAAAAGAAAAACCAAAATTAAATAAAAAAATAAATAAAATGAAATTCTTCTTATTTAAGCAATGCTATTTCAAAATTAGAAGAAAAAATGAATTATAAGAAGAAAAAAAATTCCTAGAAAATAAATGAAATAGCAGAAATACATACATTTTTTCCTTTTAAAGCAATAAATAAAAATTAAATTGAATTAAAAATAGAAAAAAATGGAAAGTAAAAGAAAGAAAAAAAAAATTCAAAAAATTCCGCTCCCCTGACTCGAACTCGGATCTTTCGAATAGTACCAGTATTAAATAGTACGCTTGTGCTCTGCTCACTCGGCTATTGCGACTGTACTTTCTATACTTTTTAATGCTTTCTCTCAAAATAGCTTTTCGCCACGAGTGGTGTATGAGACAGTGTTTTTCTAAGACATTTGTGCTTGAATAACCAAAGTCTTTCGAACTATCTTGCCATCTGTCTTTCAATTGCCTTACGAAAGGCTTTTTACTACCTTAGCCAGAATTGCCCTGTTTATTGTAGATTTCGGCTGAATATCCCTTCGTTAACAACATTTCTTTCGTGAATTATTCTCAAAATCGAAGGAACTTCTAGAAATGGACGTGAAAATTTTAGGACCAAGGTTAAGCAATTTAGATTTTATTGTGGATTTTGGCAGATATCTATTCACTAAAACGTTTGTTCCGCAGTAATGTTGAAGATACATATAAGCGTAAAGAGCTATTTCCGAAAATAGATTGTATACATTTTTTAGCATTGCCCGAAAATCTTCTTAGCAAGTAAGTTTTCTGAGCCGTAGTATACTGAAATGAAACTTCTTTTTTCTCTGCTACCAGTATTAAAATATTTCTAGTGAAATGGCATAAGCGGCAACTCTTTTTGAAAATATACCGCAGATGTACAGGCCAAATTCTATAATTTGACAATTCACTATTGAAAATCGACCGAACGGTGCAGATGTGATGACATTAACAAAAAATGCCTTCGTTCGCCATACTCTACCGTCTTCTGTCACCTTTTCGCTTGGAATTAGAGCCCAACGAATATGTCGCTTTTTCGCTACATCGATGTTTTCATTTACTGCCAACCGAACGTAAAGAAGTTTAACGCAAAAAAGAAAATATAAAAAAGAACCACAGTTTTCTAAGAAAGGAGCCGCACGTGCTCATAATTGGCCCAAGAAGGGCCAGAAAAATATCTATTTAGTTTAACTTTTATTTTAAAAATTTTCTGGCAATTTAAGTTTAAAATTGGGTTTTATTCACTTCTGAAACTCGGAAAAAACAAATACGTAACGCACTTTTGCACGCAAAATCTGTAACAATGCAATGGGTAAATATTTATTCGTTGCCGAGTGTCATGAAACCGGTAGTGATTGCAAATAATAAAAATAAATAAACAGAAATGCATAAATAAAAACAGCAATGTAGAAAAACAAAATAAGCGATGGCATTCAAGTTGAAGTGTCACACCTGCGTACTTTAATACATATTCCATTCTAGGTGCGCGCAGGTGGCTGCCGCACATGGCGTATGAGTAACATATCACAATGAATTTATGCAAATCAACGAGGAACGGTAAAGTTCAGACCGTTTGAGTTTGGCAGGCAGCAAAAAATGCAGCTGATGCCGATTGCCAACATTAACAGAGCCAAAATGTGTGTGTAGGTATGTGTGTGGGAGTGTGTATGGGATTTATTATTTATGCATGCATATTCGTGTAATACATTGTTGTTGTTGTTGCTTTCGTTGTGTATTATTAAATTTCAAATTTAATTCCATTTTCTCCACGTGCTTGCTGCACCAATCCTGTCCTTGGTATGTATGTATGTATATTAACAACCGGAAATATTTCATTACGTTTCGCTTCCGCTTGCATGATTTTTCATCAGCGTTGCAATCCATGGAACGTTTGAAGAGTTGAAGAGAGCGCAAGTGCAGAAGGAAGCTAGCGGCCAACTCGCCGAAGCATTTCATTTATTTCCTGCTTCAATTGTTACTGTGCCATTTCAGTTGTACGCCGCCGCCACCGCTGATGATGCTTTTAATAACAATTTACGCCACATCAGCTCATCAGGTGTGTGAGGAGGAGTGAGGGTGAAGCGGGAAGACAAGTAGCAGCTCGTCTACCGTCCGACATAGCTGGTTGAAAATTTGGCATACCACCATTTGGTGGGTGAGTGTTAATCTTTCTTCAGCAGTGGGGCCCCACCTCTCCGTAACTGCGCCTTCTTAATCGTGTTCTTCGCTTCAATTGACTCCAACATGAAAATCCAATTTCGATACTTGGCAGCCGTGAATGCCTTTAACTTGCATTGCTCAAGTACTTTGCTTGGTGTACACTTACTCTGCTGTTGCCGTCGGCGCACTCGTTCAACTGTTGTTACTGATGCTGATTTTCTGCAATTGCACGCGAATTCGAATGAGTGGCAGAATTGCGCTGCCACTTCGCTTGAGAATTTTGCAGTATTGGCTTTAAATCGCCCCCCAAAATTGTGGTACACCGCACCTATTTAGTTTTGGGAAAGCTGTGCGAGGTGAGAAATATTGGGCAATTGTCTGGATATGGAAGAGACAATCAAAGGATTTATTTTACTCATAAACTTATTTGGTCGCCTTTAAATACGTGATTGAAATTTATGGATGAGATAAGCCATAAAAAAATTGCAGTGACTTTTTTCCAGAAGAAATACTGCAGAATGAAACTTGAACTTATTGCGGTAATAAAACGTTTCCGAAGGACAAGTCGACTTTTGTAGATGTGGAAGAATTTAGTTTGCAATTTGCAGAAATTCAAAACTGGATTTATTAAAAAAAGAGCGAAAGAATTTGGCGTCATAAAAATGAGCGTTCTAGTTAGTCCTTATAAAAGCCAAAGACGTGCTTTTTCATATCTGTCTGAATTATGGTCGGATCACAAAGTGCGATATATCGATACAATCAACGATATATCGCACTTTTAAATCGAGCTGCAAACAAGATTATGATGAATATTTCTTACCACATCAACTAGGCTGGAATGGACTTTGAGGTGAGATTATTTGAAGTTTCGTTACGTTCCGACGATGTCAAGAATGTCAAGGATTGCATCCTAAAGGCTACCGGCTTTGAAAGCTTACTTCGTTCCGACTGAAAACATTTGGGAGACTTTATAGTGATATAAGAAGTATGAATAAATTAAGACCACAGAATTTTCTGGAGTTCTTCATTAGACGTTAGCCGCATTGAAGACCCTTATGGAATCTTTCTCTATCATCTATAGTAAGCCGCATCAACTGAGGTGCGACCAAGCCCCCTTAATTTATATACACTGTCAAGATTAAGCTTCTTGAAGAATAATCGAACCTGGTGAAGGAAATTTTCAAATGTATTAATTTGACTTATAAATATCTCAGGTCTTATTGAGGTGTAAATACAAAAATTAACTCGTTTATGTGCACTGGGATGAAATCCGTAGCAAAGCGAAAGGTATGGTTTGGGTTTCAGCTAAATAATCCGAATTGGTGAGATAGTAACCTTTCTCAAAGAATCATCTGTGCAGCTGTATTCGTCAAGCCAATGAAGGGTGTAACACAAACATAAAAAATCACATTTCGGTACTCATTGGACGAAAACCCACTGTGACCCACAATAAACAACAACAGAAACTCAAAAAATACTTTTTTTTTGTTATTTAACCGTAAATAAAGCACCCACTGGGTCTAATAGTTATCGCGGTTGAATAGTTCAAAGTATTCACTAAGTAAAAGAAGTGGCAGCTAAGAGCTTTACAAAGCCATGAACTGTTTTTTAGATGATTTTCGTAAAATCTAATCTGTTCTGATGGCACACATTCATGTTTGTCTTGTTTACTTAAAAAAATTAATTTCGAAAAACTGCTAAGTACTGCGAATTTCCCTTTACTAAAACCTCACTTATCGAGAAGCATTAAAACTCGAAAAACATAAAAAGATGAAAATGCTTTTTAGCTTAAAAAATTTACCACTGAAATATATACATATACATATTTTTCTCTGCTGGCTCGCTGCATCTAAATAAATTTTTAAGTTTGCTATATTCTTCTCCAAATTCGCACGAACCAAACCAATTAACGGTTCGAGCCAATTAAACCATTGATTGAGTTCAGCTTACTCAGACGAATTCAGACGAATCAGGTTGCAAAAAACGTGTAAAGTGTATATAAAAGGAAAGAGAGAATCGATTTACATCAATAGATGTACATACACACATTAGGGTTGTCTTTAGAAATATTAATACCGAAATCTTATATTTATTACAATTTTCTGTACATGCAAAATAAAGACATCCACGAAAATGTCAAAACTACAAAAAAAAAAAAAGTCTTGCAAAAATTCGAAAAATATTTGACCCTTTATAATTCGCCGAGTTAATGCTGGGAGTAACATTTTTTAGAATCTTTGCTATCAAATAATTTTGAATTTTTTGCAAACCCATTTTTTTAGTTTTGAAATTTGTGTGGACTGAATTTTTAGCGCCACCTTAATATATGTACTTACATAGATATGTAGATTTGGTTTGTGTAAGCTATAAAATACAAGTTACACAATTGAGTGTATGTACCATATGTAGTACTATATACATACATATGCTGTAAAAAATTTGTATCAGCAAAAAATAAATAAAAAAATTAAATTAAAAGTACAGTAAGTAAATCCAATTGCACTCGTGGCTAAAATTTCAATTAGTAGTACAAACTCACCTGAAAACCATCATATGTCCAACTGCCGAATTTCATCACACACGTCTGTTCGTCGAATGGGAAGTACTCGACATCGATTTCGCAGGAGCTCTTATAAATCGCCGGTGGCCGCCAGTCGACGCGGCCCGTATAGTTGAGAGTGGCCTTTGTGGCTAACGTCACTTCGAAATTTCCATCGGCGCTGTGGTGTTGGTGTAATATGAGGCAGCGAACGATGAGTTGGGCAGCAGAGTGAGTGAACAAAAAGGAGAATATAGAGGAAAATTGTGAATAAATATAACCATACATAGTAAATATCTAGAAGCAAATAGTGGATTTGGATATAACACAATTCAAATCGAAAGGGTGAACTTAAAATTTATGTGAAAAATTTGAGAGGAATCGCTAAAAAATGCAATAGGAAAGAAAAATTTGAAATATTCCAACATGAAGTAAGAAAGCTTAGTTTTCACTGCATTTTTTTACATAAACATTTAAGTGTATAAAATTAATCTAACCAAATTGTGTGCTGGAAATTTTATTAAAATCGCATGATTAAAAGGAACAACACATATTGCGGTATTTTCA